GTCCACCCTCCCTCTGCCAGAGCCCAAGGTTAAGTGGCTGTGGCTATTTTAGCCTCTTTCCTGGCTCTGCGCTATGGAGCTGCTTGGGAGTTTAACCCAAGGGTGCTGCTTACAGCTAAAGCCACTGTCTCTGGGCTCCCAGTCCCCTTCTCATGCCTCCGCAGTCCTACCAAAATCGATTGGTGTCCCTGGTTATATGGTCCTCCAAGCTGCTTTTCTCTTGCTTTTTTCTGATGATTTGTCTTTATTTTCGTTGTAATTCTAATTTGGTCCTGGGAGATGGTCTGTGTATCTTCCATTCATTCCGCTGCCATTTTGGAATTGAGCCACAGCATTTAGGCATGCAGAAAACATAAAAGGAATCCAAATTGCAAAGGAGGAAGCAAAACTGTCATTATTTGCAGATAATATGACATTGTACACAGAAAACCCTAAAGGCTCCATCAAAAAATCTACTACAACTAATAAACAAATTTGGCAAAGTAGCTGGATACAAAATTAACATCAAGAAATTAGTATTCTTATCCAGTGGTTCTCAACCTTCCTAATGCCATGACCCTTTAATACAGTTCCTCATGTTGCGGTGACTCCCAACTATACAATCCTTTTTGTTGCTACTTCATAACTGTAATTTAGCTAGTGTTATGTCTTAGCTAACCCCTGTGAAAGGGTCGTTCAACACCCAAAGGGGTCATGACCCACAGGTTGAGAACTGCTGTTATACACCAATAATAAATTCAAAGAAAGAGAAACTAAAAAAAACAATCCCATTTACCACTGCAGGAAAAAAACTAAGATACCTAGGAATAAACTTAACCAAAGAAGTAAAGGACCTGTTCTCAGAAAACTACAGGACATTCACAAAGAAATAGAGGAAGACATAAAAAAGTAGAAGCATATACTTTGTTCATGGATTGGGAGAATTAACATTAAAATGTCCATACTACCCAAAGCAATCTAAAATTCCATGCAATCCCCATTAAAATACCAACAACATATTTCATGGAACTAGAACAAATTCTCCAAGTTTATACAGAACCAAAACAGACCCCGAATAGCCACAGCAATCTTGAAAAAGAAGAACAAAGTAGGAGGGATCACAATAGTGGATATCAGGTTATACTACAAAGCCACTGTAATCATAACAGCCTGGTAATAGAAAAGAACAGGCATAAAATGAAACAGAATAGAGAACCCAGAAATTGACCCAAAACATTATGCTCAATTAATATTTGACAAAGGATGCATGAGCATACAATGGAGTTAAGACAGCCTCTTTAATAAATGTTGTTGGGAAAATTGGACAGCTACATCCAAAAAAATGAAGCTAGAACACCAACTTAACCCATACATGAGAATAGACTCAAAATGGATAAAAGACTTAAATGTGACTTGTGAATCCATAAAAATCCTAGAAGAAAATGTAGGCAACAAAATTTCAGACATCATACGCAGCAGAATTTTCAATGATACAATGCCTAAGACAAGAGAAACAAAGGAAAAAAGAACACATGGGACTACATCAAACTAAAAGGCTTCTGCACAGCAAAAGAAACAAGCATCAAAATGGAAAGGGAACCCACTATATGAGACAGCATAACTGCCAACAATACATCAGATAAGGGGTTATTTCCAAAATATATAGAGTACTCATACAACTCAACAAAAGGAAGGGTATGCAGAGCCATCGATGGTCTCCCTTTTTGATGTCTCTCTCTGTCTCCCTCTCCCTTCTTCTCTATCTAAAGTCAATGAAGAAAAATTATTTTTTTTAAAAAAATTTCTCTTTTAAGTGTTTTTTTTTTTCAGTAGTCTAAAAAAAGTGCTATTTCCATGTAGCCTCTATGGTTTCAAATAAGATATCCACTGTCATTCCCAAAGGTAACATTACTTTCCAATGGCTACTTTCAAGATTTTTTTTGTCTTTAGTTTTCATAAGTTTAATTATAATGTGCCTTTAGCATGGATGTATTTTAATTTATCTTCTTGGGAGTTCATTCAGATTCTTTTTTTTTATCCTAACCCAAGGACATTTTTGCATTTATCTTCAGATAGAGCAGAGAGGAAGAGAGAGAGAGAAACATCAACGTGAGAGAGACACATCGACTGGTTGCCACCTACACGATCCCAACTGGGGCCAAGGACAAACTACAACTGAGTACTTGCCCTTAGCAGGAACCGAACCCGGGTCTCTCTGGTCTGCAAGCCAATGCTTTAACTGCTGAGCAAAACCAGCCCAGATTCTTGAATGAGTAGTTTTATGTCTTTTGACAAATTTGAGAAGTTTTCAACCATTATTTTTTTAAATATTTCAATACCACTCTTCCTTCCCCTTCTGTTACTCTGATGATACAAATGTTAGTTCTTTTACTGCTGCCCCATTTTCCAATATAGAAATAATCCAACCTCTTCTCATTACCTCCATGCCTTCCAATTCTAAGTAACCATAATCACTCATAAGGAAAACTACGAGGTCCCGTAATGAGCTCTCTACACCCTTATGCACTTCCCAATACTTTCTCAATAGAGATGAAAAAGATCTTATAAAATATATACTAAATGTTGTGCATTTGCCAAAATCAACCAATAAATTAAGAATAAAATTAAAGTCTTTAATAAGGCTTATGATAGTCTTATCTTTTAGATCATAATTACCTGACATCATCTCCTGCACCTCCTCCTGTCAACCTCAAAAGCACCAGGCACATTCCTGCTTACCAGTTGCTATTACCCTGCTAAAAAGAGGTGGAATTCTCACGGCTCACAGAATCATTTTATTCAAATTTCTGCTCTAATGGTGATCTCCTTAAGGTTTCATCTAACTACTCTTCTTAAAGTAGCACACTCAATCAATTTAATCCTGCTTTAATTTCGCTGATAGATTTTTACCACCACAGAACATTTAATATACATAAATGTCTGTCTATGTGTTTAGCACCTTGTTTTGATTAAAATATATTTAACATATAACACTGTGTAAATTCTAGGTGTACATGTTATTTATATACTGTAACATGATTGCCATTTTACCAATAATTAGCAACTCTATTTCATACATAATTATTTCTTTTTAAGTAATTACCAACTCTATTTTGTACATAATTATTTCTTTTTAAAAGCTAAAATAATTAAATTCTAGTCTACTGGCAAGTTGGATGATTATAAAACAATACTGTAGTCTATAATCACTATATATAGATTTCTTTTTTTTTAATTAATTTATTTTTTTTATCCTCACCCGAGGACATTTTTCCATTTTTTGTTCAGGTAGAGTGGGAGGGAGAGACAGGAACAGAGAGGGAGAGAGAGACAGGAACAGAGAGGGAGAGAGAGACAGGAACAGAGAGAGAGCGAGAGAAACATCGATGTGAAAGGGACACATCGAGTGGTTGCCACCCACACGACCAACCAGGGCCAGGGACAAACTGCAACCGAGGTACGTGCCCTTAGCAGGAACCGAACCCGGGTCTCTCCGGACCTCAGGCCAATGCTCTAACCACTGAGCAAAACTGGCCAGTGCCACTATATATAGATTTCTAGGGCTTATTTACTATTCTGCAAATCCGTACCCTTAAACAACAACTGCCTGATCCCTACACACATTATCACCTGCTAACCACTATTTTACTGTTCTTAAAAGTTTGACTTTTTTTAGATTCCACAAATAAGTAATACCATACATTACTCGTCTTCCTTTGTCTGACTTATTCAGCACAAAGTGCTTAAGGTACATTCGTGTTATCACAAATAGCAGGATGTCCTTCTCATAGCCAAATAATATTCCATTGCACTATATATATGTATGTATGTATGTATGTATGTGTATGTGTCAATATATACACATACACACGCCATATCTTCTTTATCCATTCATCCACTGACAGGCACTCAGGTTGTTTCTACATCTGGCTCTTGTGAATAATGCTGCAATAAAAGTGGTAGTGTATATATCTCTTCAATATCATGTTTTCATTTCCTTTGGGTACATACCTATTTGAATTGCTGGATCATAGAGTAAATCTATTTTTAATTTTTGAGGAATCTCCACACTATTTTCCATAGTGGCTGAGCCAATTACATTCCCACAGTGTACAACGATTCCCTTTTCTCCACATTCTTGCAAAAACTTGCTATCTCTTGCCTTCTAGATGCTAGCCATTCTAACAGATGTGAGGTGATATCTCATTGTGGTTTTGATTTGTATATTCTTGATGAGTCATGATGATGAGCATGTCTTCATGTACCTGTAGCCATTTGCACTATTTTATAAACTCATTACGAGACATTATTTTTTTCACTAATATAGTCTCACCACCAAAGATGGTATATAGCATGTACTCAAAAATTATGATTCAATAAATGAGTGTATAAAAGAATGCCTGATAATAGCAGGAATGCAGGGCAGTATAGATAAAGTGAGCAACTGAAACTGCCTTGAAAAATATACAGTAAGTGAAATAAACAGTGTCCAGATGAAATGGGCAAAAAAAAGTGGATGGTTGGCAGATATAAGAGCAAAATTCAAAATGTGAATCAAAAAGGAGAACATTTTTGCCCTGTCTGGTTTTACTCAGTGGTTAGAGCATCAGACCTCAGACAGAAGGGTTGTGGGTTCAATCCCAGTCAAAGGCATGTACCTGCGTGGCAGGAGTCGTGTGGGAGGCAACCAATCGATGTATTTCTCTCATATCAATATTTCTCTTTCTCTCCCGCCCTCACTCCCTCCATCCCTTCCTTCTACTCCCTAAAATAAAAACAAAAATCAATGGAAAAACATCCTTGGGTGAGGATTAACAAGATAAATAAATACATAGAACATTTTTTTGTGAGAGTGATATCTGGATGTTTGATTCAATAATCAGTATTTTCAGTTATTTCCAAGGATTGGACTTCCAAAGAGATATTCTTAAAGAAACATTTCAAAGATGTCAACCTCTTGATTAATCAAAAGAAAGTAATAAATCCCCTGATGTACATCTGTACAGTACACATTAACTCACCTGGGAATCTCTGGCTTGGGAATTCTTCCTCCAATATCCATGGCTCCTCTCCTTGTTCCAATCTGAAGATCACCTCTGGCTTGGTAACACAATACCCTGTCAAAGTGAAATAATTTTGGACTTGGACCAGGCAACCTAGACTTCAAGGATTACAAAAGAGAAGGAAGTTTCTGGAGCTGCTCAATGAAGGTGCCACTGAAAATTTCATCGGAGAGGTAAAGAAAAATATCTTCCTGGTGACTAAAAGTGATCAATCAACATGGATTCCCAAATTCCAATCTTAACTATCATTAAACACTATCATAATCATGTATCATAATCAGAAGAATTTTTAAATGCTATTTAGAATTACATAGTAAACACACCTTACCCACTGAGACAAGGTTGCTGTAGTTCTCCAGCATCACATCTCTATACAGGGACCTTTGAGTGGGGTCCAGATGCTGCCACTCCTCCTGGGTGAAGCCCACAGTCACATCCTTAAATGACAGTGATGTCTGGCATTTGTGTTCAATCTGAAATAATCAGAATTAGGTAAAATGGAAAACCATGTATAAGAACTAATCCTTACCATGATTAGTGTTCAGAGATTAGCAAAATGGTTTATAGAACATTTGTATTATACTTTGGAGGAAGAAGAGAAATCATAATAGAAATATTCTGCCATTGCATTAAGGTACTATTCATGTAAAAAAAAAAAAAATTAAAAAAAAAGGTTATCAAGTCCCCACAATGTATCTGGAATTATTCTAGTTTTTGGAAGTACTAAGATTGGTAAACAGCTTCCTGTATTCAAAGAGCATATAATCTGGTAAGAAAGCATATACAGTAATATGTTAAAAGGGCAATGGTCAAGGACCTACATAGACACCACTCGAAACTGGACAAATGGCCAAGAGACATATGAATAAATTCTCAATGTCACTAATCATCAGAGAGATGCAAATTAAAACAACAATGAGGTATCACCTCACACCTGCCATAATAGCTGCCATCAACAAATCATCAAACAACAAGTGCTGGGAAGAGTGTGGAGAAAAGGAGACTCTAGTACGCTATTGGTGGAATGCAGACTGGTGCAGCCACTATGGAAAACAATATGGTGTTCCCTCAAATAATTAAAATTTAAACTGCCATTTGACCCAGTGATCCCAATTCTAGGGATATATCCTAAGAAGCCTGAAACACCAATCAGAAAGAATATGTGCATCCCTATGTTCATAGCAGCACTATTTACAATTGCTAAGATCTGGAAACAACCCAAGTGCCCATCGACAGACGAGTGGATAAAAAAGCTGTGGTACATATACACAATGGAATATTATGCAGCTGTAAGGAAGATCTCTTATCCTTTGAGACAACATGGAAGGACCTGCAGAGTATTATGCTAAGCGAAATAAGTCAATCAAAGAAAGACAAATCACATGATCTCACTTATTTGTGGAATATAATGAACAAAATGAAGTGATGAACAAAACAGACCAGAGACATGGAAGCAGGGATCAGACTGAAAAAACTCAGAGGAAGCAGGGGTGTTGCGGGGGAGAGATAAACCAAAGAACTAATATGCATATATGCATAACCAATGGACAAAGACAACAATACCATGAAAGGGGGTGACGGGAGCAGGGAGAAGTGTGTCAATGGGGGAAAAGAGAGAAACATCTAAATTAATTAATTAAAATAATAATAATAAAATAGAAAGCTATAATTAAGCCTTAAGAAACCATATTCTACATTTTTTAAAAAGTGCTATAGTCAAAGTACATACAAGATAGATTAATGTAAATGAGAAGCAAATTTAGTTCTATTTCAAGCTTCACAGAGGAAGAACAGCTCTTGGATGAAGAGTAATACTGTGGTCTTCATGAACACAGGGCCATGACACAAGCAAAGACAGAGGGACTCTCCCTCACTCAGGAAATGAACAAAGAAAAAAAACAACATAGGAGTTGAGAATATATCCTGGAGCTGTGATGACAGAAAGGGTCATGGAAGCATTCAAGGAATGGTTTTCACACCTGTTAGACCAAGGACCTACAACCAAGACTACTCTATCCATCAAGGCTATCATTTAAAATTGAAGGTAAAGTAAAGAGCTTCCCAGACCAAAAAAAAAAAAAAAAATTAAGGGAGTTCATTACCACCAAACCAGTATTGAAAGAAATATTAAAAAGACTGTCATTTGCAAATGACATGGTATTTTACATAGAAAACCCTATAGATCACCAAAAAACTAGATCTAATAAATTTGGCAAAGTAGCAGGAAACAAAATTAATATTCAGAAGTTAGTGGCATTTTTATACACCAATAATGAACAACGAGAAAGAAAAAGTAAGAAAACAATCTCATTTAGCATTGCAACAAAAAGACAAAGTACCTAGTAATAAATTTATGCAAGGAGGTAAAAGACATGAACTCAGAAAACTATTAGATGCTGCAGAAAAAACTGAGGAAAATACAAATAAGTGGAAGCATATACCATGTTCATGGATAGGAAAAATTAACATTATTAAAATGCCCATACTACCTAAAGCAATCTACAGATTTAACACAACTCCAATTAAAATACCTATGGTATACCACACAGATCTAGAAAAAATATCCCCAAAATGCACATGGAACCAAAAAGGACCCCAAATAGCCTTAGCAATCTTGGGAGAAAAAAAAAAAAAAAAAAAACAAAGTTAGAGCCCTGGCCGGTTTTGCTCAGTGGTTAGAGCATTGGTTCATGGACTGAAGGGTCATGGGTTCAATTCTGGTCAAGGGCATGTAGCTAGGTTGCAGGATCAATCCCTGGTCCAGTTGAAGTCATGCAGGAAGCAACCAATCGCATATCTCTCCCACATCGATGTATGTGTGTGTGTCCCTCTCTCCCTCCCTTACACTCTTTCTAAAAAAGAAAGAAAGAAAAAGAAAAATATCCTGAGGTGAAAATTTAAAAAAAAACAAAGTTGGAGGTATCTCACTCACTACCTGATATTAAATTATACTACAAAGCCATAGTATTCAAAACAGCATGTTACTGGCACAAAAACAGGCATATAGATCAACAGAACAGAATACAGAGCACAGAAATAAGCCCACACCTTTTTGGTCAATTAATATTTGACAAAGGAGGCAAGAATATACAATGGGGTAAAGTCAGTCTCTCCAATAAATGGTGTTGGGAAAACTGGACAGCTACAGGCAAAGAAATGAAGTAGACCACCAACTTACACCATACACAAGAATAAACTCGAATTGGATTAAATACTTAAATGCAAGTCATGAAACCATAAAAATCCTGTAAGAAAACATATGCAATAAAATTTCACACATTTCTTGTAGCAATATTTTTGCCAACATATCTCCTCAAGTAAAAGAAACAAAAATAAATAAATAAACAAACTAAAAGACTTTTGCACAGCAAAGAAATCATCAACAAAATGAAAAATGAACCCACTGAAGGGGAGAACATATCTGCCTGTGATACATCTGCTAAGGGCTAATATCCAAAATATATGAAGAACTTAACTCGATACCATTAAAACAAATAATCCAATTTAAAAATGGGCAAAGGACTAAAAAAAACCCTTCTCCAAGGAGGACATACAGATGGCCAATAGACATATGAAAAGTGCTCAATGTCACTAATCATCAGAGAGATGCAAATTAAAACCACAATGAGATATCTCCTCACACCTGTCAGAATGGCTATCATCAATAAATCGACAAACAAGTACTGGCAAGAATGTGGAGAACGGAACCTGCATGCATTGTTAGTGGGAATGCAGATGGTACAGCCACTATGGAAAGAAGTATGGCATTTCCGCAAAAAATTTAAAATGGAACTAGTTGCCTTTTGACCCAGTGATTCCACTTCTAAGAATATATACTAAGAATCCAAAAAAACTAATTTGAACAAATATGTGCACTACTATGTTCACTGCAGCATTATTTACAATAGCCAAGATCTGGAAACAGCTCAAGAGCCCATTAGTAGATGAGTGGATTAAAAAAAGAGCAGTGGTACATTTACACAACAAAATACAACTCAGCTGTTAAAAAAAAAAGGAAATCTTATTTCTTGCAACAGCATGGATGGACCTGGAGATTATTAAGCTATGCCAAATAAGCCAGTCAGAGAAAGACAAACACCATATGATTTCACTTATATGTGGAATCCAATGAACCAAATGAACTGACAAACAAAACAGAAACAGAGGCATGGATACATGGAACAGACAGACAGATGTCAGAGGGGAAGGGGGATTGAGGGGCTGGATGAAAAAAGGTGCAGGGATTACCAAAAAAAAATTTTTCAGTATATATATAAACACATAGACACAGACAATAGTGTGGTGATAGCCAGGGGGAAAGGGGAGTGAGGAGAGGTAGGTGGAGGTGGGCAAAGTGGTTAGGGAAAATGAGAATGGAAAGAAACTTTGCTTAGGCTGATGGGCGCATGATGTAGTGTGCAGAAGATGTTTTGTTGAGTTGTACACTGGAAACCTATATGGTTTTGTAAACCAATATCACCCCAATAAATTCAATAAAAATAAAAATAAATGAGGACCCGCTGAAGAGTATATACATAAAAAAAGAAAAATAATAATTCAAAATGTATCAAAGACCTAAAGAAAAGACCTGAAAAAATAACTTACATAGAAAAAAACGTAGGTACTAAATTACAGTCCTTGGTCCTAGAGAGGATTTCATAAATTTTACCACAAATGCAAAGGAAATAAAAGCAAAAATAGAATCAGACTACTAAAGTGCTTCTCCACAAGAAAAACAAAAACAAAACACAAAAAACCCATCAACAAAACAAAACCAATCAAATGAGAGAAAATATTTGCAAATAACAGCTCTAACAAGGGGTTAATATCCAACATATATAACCAACTCATACAACTCAACACCTAACAAACAAACAATCCAATGAAAATGGTCAAAAGACCCTGGCCAGTTTGGCTCAGTGGTTATGGCACCGGCCCAAGGACCAAAGGTCTTCGGTTCAATCCCAGTCAAGGGCATGTGCCTGGGTGCGGGTTCAAGTGCCAGCTCCGGACAGGGTCATGCGAGAGGCAGCCAATCAATGTCTTTCTCATATTGATGTTTGTTTTCTCTCTCTCTCTCTCCCCTCCCCTTCCTCCTTCTCTTCCTCCCACTCTACCTGAAAATCAATGGAAAAATATCCCCAGGTGAGGATTAACAAAAAATAAAGAAATAAAAATGGGCAGAGGACATAAACAGACACTTCTCCAAAGAAAACATAAAAATGGCCAACAGATATATGAAAAGATGCTCAACTTCACTAGCTAATAGGGAAATGCAAATCAAAACTACAGTGAGATACCTCACACAAGTTAGAATGGCTATGATCAACTAGACAAGTAGTAACAAGTGTTGGAAAGGTTGTAGAGAAAAAGGAACCCTTATCCACTGCTGATGAAAAGGTAAAGTGGTACAGTCACTATGAACAGTATTGAGGCTTCTCAAAAAGTTAAGAATACAGTTACCATTGACCCA